TAAATAAACGTCACCAGCCTCTACCTCTTCATGAAAGACTTATTAACTTTTTTTTCTAATTTACAAAAACAATCCAACCAAGCAGAAGGACATTGGAAACTGATCAGTTGCGACTGAAGAATTATCGTGGCTAAAAAAAACCTTGGAACATAACAATCGGCTTTTACCCGCCGCCTATTGAATCCATCAGTTAATGATATTCCTATTTCAACTCATATTAGCTGAATGGGTGCAACTTAGTTGCCCACACTGCACCACCATCAGCTGGATTCATCTTTACATTCTTTTTGGTTGAGTTTCTGTTGTTTGGAGATGGGGAAACAGCGTTCATTCGAACTTTCATTCGAGCTCTAATCTGACCAATCTTCAATATTTTAATTTTGCCTCGCAATCGCTCCCTTATCTGTTAATAAAACATAAGGTAACATGAATCAGTTGCTGAGTTCTAAAATCTGGTTATTCAAGTAGGCCACATTCTGTCATGATTTGCACAATGTTAAGATAATTTTTTTTAGTTTCGATCTTACCTGACTGTTTCTCATACAGTGCAGGATGAAAATCAGGACACCCTACAATACAAATATAATTATGGATAATAAGTCTTTTTTTTGTTTGAAATATAATATCATGACAAGTAAAGAGATCTTTGCGAAACAGGGTAGTTATTAACTCAGCTGAACTTAACTTGTAAGTTTATGAAGGGAGAAAAACAGACGGTTGAGGGATTGACTGACCGATGAAATTATTCATTGGCTAAACGGCTATCAAAATGATCAAAAAACTGAAGGAATGACTGATAGATGGATAGGAGGAAGGACTGACTAGAGACTGACGGTCTCATTACCACATTGATTGACTGATAGAAGGATTTTTTTCATTTGTTTAGAGGCTTCAAGCTCTAACTTTTATCAGCAAGGCTATCTTAATTTTACCAAGGAAATTTACAGCAAACCTGAGTAGAGTTGAGAATGGTGAAGATGTAGGTGAAAGCCTTGTGTAGAGGCGAGAGAAGACCAAACAACCACGTGATGCCAAGAAGAGGAATCATTAGAGCACATGTTCTGATGCCAAGTCTACAACAGGACAAATGTTTTTCCAGCTTTCAACTCACTTTAGCTGTTATCGTCATAAGTAAATGTAAAATCATGCAAATAGTACCCTCGGACGCTCGGACGTACAACAAGCACGCCCTTACCCCAACTTTGGTGCGTGGTGGGGGGGGGGAGTTATTTGGAACCCTGAACCCTTATTTTACGCTATTTTGGAAAGTTTTAACCTGGCACATAGATAGCTTGTCAGGTCTTTTACAAGATGATTTTAAAATCATAGGATACATATGCAAATGTCGCTGCAAATGTTGCCGCGACCCATTTAACATGTTGCCCGTTTTTAGATTTCTCACTTTTCCACTTTAATTTTTGGCTTGCCCATCATTATCAAACATGGCAGGAGAATGGAAAATAAGACTCGATCGGAAAATAAATAGTGAGTTTACTAAACTCTCCTTCTTCAACTTAGAAGCTTAGATTCTCCCGTGGCTAATATCAACCCTTAAACCACACCACGCTTGCCATTTAATGTGTCGTATATCTATATGTCAGTTTTCATCAAGTAAAGAAAAGATGTCTGCAGGATAAGCTAACAGCTACTGAAGTGGACAGTTGCCCGATTAAAATCTTTTTGA